CTTCGTTAAAAAAAGATTTGTCATTAAAAAATTGGGTCATTATAGAATCTCCTAAGTACGTTATGTTAGCATATTTAATAGATTTTTAAAACTTGGGAAACCCTAGAAAAACTGATATTCAATAATGATAAAAAGCAATCCACTATACGTAAAACGAACCGCGATTGACGTTTACAAAGTTGCCATGCGTAAAAATGAAATCAGAGCATATTGAATTTCGCTATTTCATAAACTCATTTATTTTAATATCTATCAATGAAATATTTTCCTTTCCATTTCAAACATTTTTATAAGTAAATATAAAAATCTACATCCAATCTAAATCTACGTCTACATGGATTATTAATGATAATTACCATTTTAACAAACTTGAATATGGCAATGTTGAACTGGCATTTGTCTTGATGACATTGACAATTAATTTGTCAATACTGGCGCATTGCTGTTTGTTTCAAATGCGATGTTATGATGTGTTTGTTGAATTTGAAGTTATTTTATTCATCTGGTGATACGTTGAGTTTGGCAACCGTTCCTCCGTAGCCCAAATTGGTGTTATTGGCATCATTGTTGTGACAATTGCGAAAAGACACTTATTTACATTATTTTGTGCATAGTGTGTTGTTATTTGTCGCGATGATGAATTTACAGTGTATTAATTGCATTCAGAGTTTGTCGCACATGAGACGGCATGCTCTAGAAAATGAGAGTGAAGATTAGACGTGGTCAACAATATCCCAATGTGGACTTATCCTAGAGATGTAAGTACCTAGTTTACCCATTACATATCGAAAGTCACCATGTTGCCTGAATAAAAGAAGGCGCATAGTGTTATCTACCCATAATGTATCATTTTATTCTTTTTATTCTAGATCTCTCCTACCGACCATATTTGCAATGCTTGCTGGCAATTAGCAATGTATCGGGATGTTGCTGAAAGTATGTCCAGCAAACAAATTGGTCACTGGCATGTTTGTGTCGTATATGGGTTCATTGCAATGATAAGGTGACGCAGGGTTTTAATTGAAGGCGCCAACAAACAGGAGTAAAGACTGGCTCATATAGTATTTGATTGGATTCAGCCACAAGAGGTAATAAAGCATAATTTAACCATACTATTATCTATATACAGTGTAATCTAAAGTCAATATCATATTCTAATAATATTACTTATTTTAGCTTACTTCCCATGATGAAGATCATGTTCCATACTGACTGAGAGACCGTACAAGAGTCGAAACTATAAAACCACAACCTGACATACCACCTCACAGTGTTCACTATCAGGAAGTAATGTGTTATGTAAACATGGACTAAGCCTCACTTTAACATTGCCATTTGTAGAACAGATGAGGCCGGATGATGTTGTTCGGCTCTCAAAGCTTCAACAGGTATGCATTCTCAATATAATGTACCTACATAATTATGTATCTATGTGGAGTATATAAGCGGTTTCTAATAGGTTTATACTCATGTTATAATTATAATTTATTAATTAGCATGCTGTTTGAGCTCCTATGATCTGTGTTATACGAATAACTATAATAAATGTTATAAAATCAAGTAATGTAATCAAATATTTATTTTTATCTTTTCCATTTTAAGATAGGGAATCAGACATATTATTATAACATATAAAACTAAAGGAAAAATATGTACTTTTGTTTACTTTATTTACAGTTATCTTACTTGTTTACAGATATCAGCAATTGATGTCTGCTGTACCTATGACACGGCCTGTTCTCTTTTTAGATGAAGTACTCCTAGAAACAACCTGAATACAATGAAATAAAAGTATTTCAAAATAATACATTTGTTTTATTTTAACCTAGTAAGTAACTATATATTCCATCTTGATAAAAGTGATTTTAAGAATCAATCTATAAAATAAATGCCACATTTAATTTAGATAGCTTTAGTTTTATACCAAAAATGTTCATTTTCATTTTACATTTTCTTTAGTTGTAATGTGGTGGCCCAGAGGTTTAAGAAGCCCGCTTCTCATGCATGAGAGTGCGGGTTCGAAACCTACCAATGGCAAAGTACCTTTTGTCCAATGTGTCTTTTTTCCGAGTTATTGGTATATTCAATAATCTAAGAAAGTACAAAGACACCGCTGACGAATGGTGAAGGAAAACATTGTGAGGAAACATGGGCTTATAATTTCTTATTATAAGTTTGAATTACCAACCCACATTGAGCTAGTATGGTGATTAATGCTCAAACCTCCATGCGAGAAGAGGCTTCGGTCAGCAGTGGCCACTTATAGACTTAATGATGAAAATGTTGATGATTCTACTAATTTGACTTACTTATTAGAAATTAATCCTTACATGCGTGCTAAGCAACCAGTTTTCAGAAGAAATACTTTCTCAAAGAGCTAAGCTAAGTTTAAATCGAATTAACTTGAGACCTTTGAGACTATCTACCTGCAAGATTCAAGGTAAAGTGAGACATTAGTTTTATCATATCCGCCACAAGACTTCCACTGCTAAATGTAGGCCTTCTACCCAATGACAGTCGCTTACATTATGAATTTGCATTTTCGTAGGCACCTAAGAAATGAAAAAGATTGTGAGGCATACTCTTTAAAACTCTATAGGTGCATCAAGCATGATGCACCTATAGAGAATTCAGCAAGCATGCTGAATTATCAGGATCATTCCTAATTGCCTTTTGCGCTGCGACGCACCATAGGTTATTTTTTGGGTTTCTAAATTCTTGTTGTGTGTCGTAGCAAAATAAATGGTTTTTCTTTCTTTCTTTCTTTCTAATAATACAAAGTGTAATAGTCACTTGAGTAGCGAGCAGTATTTTTAGATTTTTGTTTTTTGTAAATAAACAACCACATGAGAGCACATTGACATTTTTCAGTTAACTGTCATCTGTCATTTGTAATAGATATTTTGCTTACGGTGGCTCTACACTTGACGTTGCGTATTTGTTGTGTTCGGCCAAAAAATAACATGTTTGGAGGATTTATTCTTCTTTGTTTGCTATATATTTGCACGCCATTACATATAGAGATACTATTTGGACGCCATTTGTACGTAGTCTACAAATATTTGGACAAATGAAGCGACTACGCAATGTCAAGTGTGGTACCACCTTAACATACCTTTTGCACATTTTCAAAGTGAAATAACTTTTGAACCCCAAGTTCTAAAAATATGTAATTTTTTTCTAAACTTCATAATAAAAATATCTATCGTTCAGACTATTCACTTGGTTAAAACAATGACTAATACAAAATTTTATAGCGGTACAAAACTTCCATACAAACCTGCCATTCTCCTTTGAATATTTGACAATTGTTCCATACTATGTCAATTTTATTACAGTTAAGAATTAACTGATAAAAATCGACCCTAAGGCTAAGGACTCACGGCGTGATCTTCTCCCGCGCCCACGGCGGTGGCGGTGTGGCGACCGCCACCGTCGTGGGCGCGGGAGTAATAATACCAGATTCTAACATAAGATAGACAGATCAAATATCGTATATATTAATAACATATACAAATCAAATAGGAAATAATTTTGTAACATTACAAAATTGAAAAAATCTAGACTAGTGGGCAAATCACATAAATCTAAATAATAGCCGCAGACATTAAATTACGCCTAACACAGAATAAACTACACAATCCACTCAATTACAACAAAATATAAACAAACATACAAAACTATATACATTATCTGTCGTACTCAAAGTCATTTAATGATTACTTAAACTATTCCTTAGTAACGGTGTTGTTCCGAAAACAATTAGGTAGTTTTCGTAATCAAAAATAAATTATTTCGACTATTCAATACAATGAAAAAACAATCACACTTTCTTTGATTAATTGATTTTACGAGCAATTTAATTTTAATATTTATCTAGAAAAGTTTTAAGAAATAAGTATGCTGTTTGACGGAAAAAAAACGTGACGACGTCACAATACACAATCTCGTACAAAATTCAAAGAAAACTGTCGTTTTTGACAGTTCGAAAAAAGTATTGAATTTGACTAGTTGTAAAGTACCCAGTTGGGTAAAACAAACATAAAATTTGTACGAGATTGTGTATTGTGACGTTAGGTTTTTTAGCGTCAAACAGTATACTTAATTCCTAAAAAATCGCTGAAATAATACTAAAATTAAGTTGGTCATAAAATCAATTAATGGAAGTGTTATTATTTTTTAATATTTCATTGTATTGAATAGTCGAAATAATTTATTTTTGATTAAGGCAAATACCCAATACTTAGTTAGGTTAGTATTGAATGTCTCTGAGTACGACTGTTAGACCCGCAAAAAATAATTTACAAGCATGTACTTATAATGTAGATACAGAAACTAAAACTGGGACCAGCCGACGGAGATAGCATCGTCATTTTTGATGACTGTTATCCCCAATCTGAATGCTAAGTATGGGGATTATAACAAATTGCACATCCCATTTATGGACAGTTTCAATAAACTTATCCTTCTGTAGATTTGCTTACACAAAATTAAACTTTGTAATTATATTCGATGGAACGACGTTTGATCACTATCTCGCCTGGTGGTAAGCGATGATGCGGTCTACAATGGAGCACGTCGTCCCATAAGCAACCTATTCACTCGAGCCTTGAAGACACCCAGGTTATAACTCTTCAGGATATACAGACTTGCAAAGAATTCCACTCCTTAGTAGTACGCACAAGGAAGCTTAATGCGAAGCACTATTTTTAATGTTACCACACAATACGGTATTTTCCTGTGTCATGGGTGCGTTTACAAACATACAAATACTCAGACCCGGAACAACCTTTGGTTGGTCACGCAAAGAGTTGTTCCGTGCGACATACGAACTCACGGTACATCGCACAGTAGCCAGCCACTGCGCTAACTGAATGTATCCGAAAAATCTATCTCTAATGAAATCCACAGATATGATATAGATTATTGAAACTTTCCATTAAAAGGAAGGTCTTTGGGCAACGTATGATGATGACGAACGATTTAAGAATGCGAACTACTTATCTGGCTGGCTCCTCAACTGGAGATCGGTTACCAAAGACTGTGCCTAATATTTCCATACAATACTGTTTTTCTTCCATAAACCTATCATCTGCCAGTTCTGGTAAGTTTAGATAGTCTTCTAGAATCTTCTTCAGGTTGTACTTAGGGTCTCTGCAGAGTCGTAAGGTGTTGGGGTCCTTAGAGCTGATGAGGACTTGGAGTATGCTGAGCAGGTGCTCCGAGCTGTCATCCCGACCAGTTTGTAGTTGTGATGTGATGACTTTTACGATGTTGTGTCTTATTAGTTGCCCTGGAAATAGTGGGATGATGTTAAAAACAACGGTAAGAGCGTTAGGAGGAAAGAAACTGAGTTAGATTGCATGGTCAGCAGAGTAGCTGTATAATCTATCGTGTGATTGATTCCCGCATGGAACATCTCTTTGAGAGATCCTCAAATCTAATCGCTGCACCAAGCATGCATGCGACTAGAAACAACGATAAACTCAACACAAACTTATCAAATAGTCTAAAATTTTTCAAAAACACTTACGTCTGGCATCAGCATAGTACTGTCCGAAGTATCTGATGAGGAATGCTGCTTTGGTCTTGGCAGCTAAGTCAGAGGAGCTGAGCAGTTCCACGAGTACAGGGCACCCTCCCTGCGTGATCAGCTCGTGGCAGGCCGGCTCGTAACCACGAGACATACCTGGAATTAAACAATGTTTTTATTTAGGTTTATGGGGTTCGCGCTTGATTACGAAGAACTCGCAATACAATAGGAAAAATGATCGTTACATTACATTAAATATTTGCACCACCATCTGCACCTTTGGGAAATCAATGGTGTCATTTTAATTACTTTCTGCCTCATCGACAGACCAAATGGAGTGAATACTGTTGGACTTTCAGTCTTGAAGCTCTCAGAACTGACATATTTGGTAGACGAGGGCCTAACTTGACAAAAAGGTAATAATACGCGAGCCTAATTCTAAGCGAGGCACAATGTGCTACATGTATCTTAAACAGGCAGTGCTAACTTACATGAAATAGCATATAAGCACTTAGCAAGTGCAGCTCCTTGCTCCTTCTGCACCAGGTTGAGCAGTACATGCAGTAGACCGCACTCCAGCGCCCTCTTCTGACAGAACTCATTGTTCTGGCAAATTGTGCCCAGGACAGAGCTTGCACGAGTCCTCAATTCTTCATTCTGGCTGCTGTAGCATATGGGGAACATTGCAAATCCTCCCATTTTGAAGAAATCTGTTTTGTGAAAAAAGAATATTAATAAATATGTCAACTTAAAACTTGTAATGATGCACTCATGCACTTGTAATTATGTACGAATTAGGTATATATTAATTATTATGCAGGTATGAATGTGGTGGTGGCCGGAGGTCACTGAGTTCGAAACCTACTAATAGCAAGTACCAATGTGGTTTTTTGGAGTTATACTTTCTAAGATTATTTAGACACAACTGACAAACAGTGAAGGAAGGAAATCATCGTGAGAAAACCTAGACTTATAATTTCTAATAATAAGTTTGAAATCGACAACCCGCTTTGAGCAAGCGTGGTGATTAATGTTCAAACCTTCTGTGTGATAATAGGCCTTCGGTGAGCAGTGGGTACTTATAGGCTGTCGATGTGAGGTCCTGCAGGTAACACGCTCCTCATCCTACCAACCCCACTAAAGCCCTTACAATCATGGTAAGAAACACCTACCATTAGCCACATCCAGATCATCAACATGGTCCAGCAACACTGTGAACGAGTTCTTCACCTCATCAGGTAATGAGTCATGCTCGTTTATGCTGTTAATCTTCTCTGAGTTCGTCAGTACTTTGACGGCATTGTCCAGCACATCTGCTATGTTCACTGTCAAACTCCTTATAGCTTCTTCAAGGAATTTACGCCTCTGTAATAAATAGGAATATTATGGGTAAAATGTGTACTTATGTATCTTTAGAATCATGTCAGACTAGACTTGATGATCTAACCCGTAGAAAATTGTTGAAAATCATCCCATAAATTTGTTCATACAAAAGTAGTATCTAAACATTGGAAATAAGGTGTATAATGTAGTTAGTAAAGAGTAGTCACCGGTGACCGCTTGGGGATATATAGGCTAGACAGAGATCTAGTCATATATTCTTCATTTAAAACCCTATGTTGCTCCAAGTATTATTGGATTATTCATATTTAAAATTTTCATCATCATCACCATGACATCATGCCTTTTATCCCCAAAGAGATAGGCAGAGGTGCACATTATGCCGCTGTAAAATGTAACACCCACTTTTCACTATTTATGTTACGAGTCCCATGTAATAGGGGGCAAGCCTATTGCCATAATAATATATCAGGCACAATTCCAGACTCCATGCTACTACTGAGAATTTTTAAAAACTTAATACAGTTACTTAAACAGTAATACTTTGCCTGACTCGGGAATCGAGCCCGAGACCCCTTGCCCGGCAGTCGCACTTGCGACCACTCAGCCAACAAGGCAGTTAAAATTTCCAGTAATGACAAAAGTCAAAGTTTAAGTAATATTTAAGTTATGACAGTATTTTGTAGGTGGTAATCATTTATACGAAAATATCACAGCAATGAATAAATAACTGAAGCTACACACCTCTTCATTCATTGGCGCTAGATCTTTGTTCCCTGGAGCATCTTCAGCTTGTGTGGCCTCCATAGCAAACTTCAGCAGACCCTGGAAATACCAGTACACAAAAATTTAAAAAAATGTACTTATGACAGAAGGATTACTTTAGTATTTAATGAAAGTGAAGTATGTATAATCAAATAATAATTTTCAGTCACCAAAAATCACCTATGGTTACAGATATTTCTATATGAAAATGATGCAATGAAATGAAAAATGATAACTTATTTCATAATTTTAGTGAAGAAAGTTTGTTACCTGTAAGTTCCGTGGTGGTCGTTTGTTGTGCACAGAGCTTCGTGAACTCGTGTCCTGTTGGCTTAATGCATCACTTTGAAGATTGCTAGAACTTAAGACACCACCAGCAGCTTCGTGGTTATCCGATGGATAAGTCAACATTGCAGGCGCCGGCACCATCCCACTTGCTTGACTAGCAGCGGGACTAGGAAATGTAATTCCATTTGGATGATTATTAGAACTCATTTTGTTTGACCAAATTTGTTATCACACACGCGCTTTCAATCTCACTTGAATCAACAATATATTATTCGATTCACGTCTATTTCAACACTGACGATAAACACAGATCACAACGCTTTTATTCAACGAAATGAATCACCTGCCGCACGACAATTTCTAGAATAAATAGGAAATATCGAGAAGCGAGAACCATGCGAAGTTCGCCACATTGAACAAACGTCAAATTGAAATGACAATTCATATTTTGACAGTCATGCTGTCACTGTCAGTGTCAGTAGCCTGACAGTGACAGTTGCTTGCACCATAGACCCGATTTTTTTATTAATATATCTAGGCACTTTGGAACATAGCTTATTTGCTCTCATAGCTTTATATCATAATAATAGACTGCACAGTTGGTGCGGTGGCTACGCAACCGGCTGCCGTGCAACGTGTCGCGGGTTCGATTCCCGCACGGAACAACACTTTGTGTGATCCACAAATTGTTGTTTCGGGTCTGGGTGTGATGTGTATGTGAACTTGTATGTTTGTAAACGCACCCACGATACAGGAGAAAATCCTAGTGTGGGGCAAAGCTTTGAAAAAAAAAAAAAAATAGAAGGTAGGTTGTGACCTAACCTAACAACAATCACAAGCTTCTTTTGTAATTTGTTAAGTTTAAATGTTCTTTTTTTTATTAAATTGATAAGAATCTATGAAATTCTTATGCACTGCACCGTTACCAAGAACCCACTTTTATATTTATAACTTCCTTTGATACATTACTTACCCAGTTACCCCTTAAAAATATAATTAGGTTTGCTCATGTATTAGAATCGCGTCTCATTATCTCTTGATGTCAAATAGAATATGTACCTTAAGAAGGCAAGAATCTTCCTTACATACGAAGTACCTTAGATAAGTTACTATGTAACGTATGTAATAATAATAATGTATAAAATTATTTAATCGGCTTCAATCAAATAAACACATATATATATATATATCGGCTTCTCCGCCCCCCTCCTATAAAAAAACGGACATCTTAACTTCTCATCTTTTATTGTATTTTAAATAGATATGTCTCAGTTAAAGTTATTGAAAGTCTTTATTACGAATGATAAAATACCTGAATTATTTACAGCCTGCTGTGATAAATATCACTTGAGATAACATATCAGAATGATAGTGTTTTATGCGAAGTAACATGTTTTCACAATAACATCCCACGCAGCGGGAGACCCCACAAAACGCCTTTTACTTTACAAATTAACATTTCAAATTATTACTTTTTTTGTGAGAAAATTGTGTGTCGTGTTTTTTACTTAATTACGTGTCTGAAGTTATAATTTGATCTGAAAAAGAAGATTAATTAATTAATCTGCATTTTGAATAATAAATAGGTGAGTACCTAATCACATGATGTTTATTTTCTATCGCCTCAAGCTAAAGACAATAATACAGAGTGTCTTTAAGGAGAAATAAAAGCAAGCATCACTAGTAGTAGTTACTAGAATACTTAATATTTTACAATTAATCAATGTCTGCTACTTTTCAACTTTATTCCTATCCTATTTGTATAGAAATAACGCTATTATGTATTTATTAAATAACACTGCCACAATCATAGACGTGATAAGACAATGGCGCGATATGATTGTGATGTCTACATACATATTGCAAGTAGACAAGTTTTATACGTTTTACAAAATAATATTATGTGAAGATAAAAAAATCTAGAACAATCACGAAAAACTATCGGGAAATTATAAAAGTTCTGGTTTGTTCTTGTTTGAAAAATAGATAAAAAAACACCGATAATAAATATAGTAGATTGCTGGATATTTAGTGGTCCAGGTATACAGACAAATAACATCTATTGAAATATAACGTTATAATAACATTAAAAATGATTAATTCTAAAATCTCTTGATTCCTATTTATTGTAAAAACCAATTTAGTAAACAGGTACACAAATATCCCAAAAGCATTGAAAAGCATCATTAAAATGAAACCTGAAGAATGGCGAAAGTCATCAAAACAACAATGTTCAAATAAATAACATGGGATGTTATTCGCTTCACTTATTTTCTAAGAGAATATATATAACATTCAAGCAAGGACGAGCTGTCTTATCGGATAAAATTATCATGTATCATACGCGAATCGATAACACGAGTAAACAGAGTTTCAGCTACATTATTATACAAATATATCTTACTTAGAGCTCAATATAAATTCTCCATTGTCGCCTATTACTTAGAAAGCTACAATAATCCCATGTTGTGTAATGATTAATTAAGCTTAGAAGACATTTCCATCTATCTTTATTTATTTTTTCTTTTACTAACTAGTTCATCAATCGATTTCCAGCAATGGCGCCTCGGCAGGACATCGTAGCCCAGCCACAGCCGATCAGAATAGAGCAGGGTAGGCAGCCCCCACCTCCGCCGGCGCCGGGACGCCTCCAGCGACCCCCGCACGACAACCCTACCGTCTACATAAACAGGCCCACGAATATACCTCGCAACAATGTCAACACCAGTGAAATCGCTCGCACGTAGGCAAACACTGTGAATGAAAACAAAATCGTAGGTACTTCCACTGGGTATGTTAGTTTGTCTATGACATGTTGTTTTTTTAGAGAAGGGATTAATAAATTAGTAGTCTAAAAGCCTTGTTTTCAAACATTGTTATAAGTTGCCGTATTTTTAAATAATACGACTACGACTTTTGAATAAACTAGAATGAAAAAACTATTTCATAAAGGATTCTTAGGACCGAAGTTTATTTATTCAAAAGATAAATGGGGAGTTTGTGTTGGCTTAAACTACCCACAAATAATCATAAATCAACATGTATTGAATAACAAATCAATATTTTCACATAACATGACTTGAAGTAAGTACAGCGCTATAAAAAGTAAAACAGTAGACGAAAATACAATTTTGTTTGCGTCACAGGCCGTCCCTTTTAACAGGGTACTGAAACGAATTTTGAAATAGTTAAGTCTAATTTAAATTAGGTACTATTTACCCACGTAAGTAGTCGTAATGTCTAAAATTCTTAAATTGGTAGAAATAAATAAACATGTTGTTCTGTATAAAATCACGTAACTATATAATTTGGTTTATTAAATTATTTAATACCTATATAAATAGGAACCTAAACCTACCCACATTTAGCGAGAAATAATTTCTATAAAATAATTTATATAAAAAAAAAAAATTAATTAAAATTTATAATTTGTAGTAGTTATAGGTTTATATATAAACATAGAATTGCCTATTATACTTTCTGTATATACTAGATAGATTTTAGAGATATAAATGTACATGTAATATAATTAATTGTAACTATAAAACATTTAATCAATACTCTTGGTTTTTTTGTTCCATTCCAAGTCGTATCATTCCTATCCTCTGTGTTCCTGTGCATTCTGTAAGATAAACCTAAATGTTGTGTTTAGATGTGTATAAAAGAGAAGTGAAGACATAACTCAATACAGATAATACAATATTACATCCTTATCCTTACTATATATATATATATATATATATATAATATTATAAATCGGAAAGTGAGTTTGTTTGTTTGTTTGTTTGTTCCACCTTCACGCCGTAACTACTAAACCGATTGCTTTGAATTTTTGCAGATGTGAAGTTAGCAGTCTGGATTAAATAATAGGGTACTTTTTATCCTGGAAAAATTTAATATCCTCGAGGGAAAACGAAATTATTGATATAGATGGCGCTGTGTGTACCTATTGGTATATGTCACGTAGGCTACTTTTTATCCTTTTGTGACGCGAGCGAAGCCGCGGGTAAAAGCTAGTATATTATAAATCGGACTAAAATGTATGTACCTATACAAAAACAAGATTCCTTTCAGAAATCATTTGACTGCACGATTGGGGCCACAGAAATATTTATCGCGGTGGCTGGGAAACCGGCTGCCACTCAGCACGTTACGTTTTGCGGGTTCGATTCCCGCAAGAAACAGGTGTGTCTTATCTAGAATGTCTAGGTGGCCCACCCACGACACAGAGAATATTCTAGCGTGGCCCAACGTTTTTTAAAAACAAAAAAATCCACAATGTTCATGATTAATTTCGAAATTCAAAAATTGTGCTCTTGTTCTTGTAAGCAAAAGAAAAGCTAGTACCTACTCATTACATTTTTCATGTTTTTATTTAAAGGTTCTTTCGTACCTAGTTAGTCTAAGCTACTTCAACGAAAGGGCAAAAGGTCTTTTCCACAAAACTTTTTTACAACCCGAAAGTAAATTCAGAACTCGTTTCTTGTTAAAAGTCTTAATTTCATTTGAACGACGTCGAAAGAAAATTTCTTGGAATTTTTTATCCTTTAGGTTTAATTTTCGTAATTAAATATGGCCTCCTTGTATTCAGATGAAGTCTGCGTAATACGTTCTTTTTTTTTGCAGACGCAGCAAAATATTTATGCAGCGTCATCAGTTGACAATAACTAAACGTCGCAATTGTTTTTTTTTTAAGAGCGTTCGTTAACCGTGGTCTGCAAGTAAGTTGCTAGCTAAAAAATAAGTCTCATTTTACGAGTTCCGTGGCAAATGAATTGAAATGTAGCTGAACTGAAGTACATGGACCGAAGTCGCTACTCATTTATGGATGTCACAGTCGAGTCAACTTAGCTCTGATTTTGGCACAATTTTCAACATAAAAATGTTACCAGTTTCCAAAATTGTGAAGAATGATAGATTTTTATCTATGTCGTCACAAACGGTGATTTGACTGTTGCAATAACTCAAAAGTTGTAAATTAAATTGTCTGCAATGCAATTTAGATGCAAAGTACTAAGAGACTAAGACGGAAGCACCATACCACAGCATTTCATATTTCTATCAAATATAGTCTGTGCCATACCATTAAACCTTCTTATTACCTGGCCGTTTCTAAGGGTCGGCACTGACTCGTAGCCACTAGTGACTTGGCACTTGGCTGTCCCGGTCGATAATTTTACACATGAACACGTAGAACTATCTACCTT